CATATATGGAACTTCCATCATTGTCTTCGATGGGATCGTCATATAGACAAGCCTCTTGATCAGCATATGCAATTGCATGTTCGTCGTTGTCATCAAATTCATGGTCGATGTCACGCTCGCTATCCACTGGCTCGCCCGGAAACATGTAGTGACGTGGCAGTTCACTTAGCCAAGGCTGAAGGAGGACGATTTCACACTCCAAGCAAACGTTGAAGTCGACATCCTTCGGATTTTCGATGTTGTTGACATTGCCAGCATGCGTGATGCCTTTGCGCGAGAGCATCAAACCAACAAAGGCAGGATGGATGTCCTTGCAATCGTAAAACGCGACCAACTCATCGCACAACGTGGCGTCAGGATTTCGCAAGCGGGCTGCCATGGATTGCAGGATGTCCTTATCTTCGGTTGAGTACACATGGACATCAGTTGTAAATGCCAAACGATCGCACACACAGCACACACATTGATCCATTCCAGAGGGGCCAAGGGCAAATCCCAATTCACCCAGGATTTTGGACTTCATGTCCTTGGAGCATTCATGCAGCAAGCCAGCGTCGTCCAGTGCAGCACATTGCGCTTCCGAGGCAGTTACATCGTTGCTCTTGGCTTCTTGAACGCGATGAAGCCCTTGTCGCCGGCGTTCAAGTCGGCTCTTCCGTACTTCGACGCTTTCAGACACATGCAAAGCCTTTCGTTGCGCCTTAAGGTACCCCAAACGACTTGATCGCGCCTCCACAGTTTGAGCTGAGTACTGAACTTTCAATGTAGTCAATCGAACGTCACGATCTTCAGGTAACTCCAGCTGCCGATTTGCTTGAAGCTTACTCAAACGGCTCGTGCGTTGGTCTGGAGATTCCATACTGCGCTGAGCTTTAAGGCTGTCCAATCGAGCTCGATGTTGCTCTGGGGATTCCATAACTCTCTTTGCCTTGAGGTTTTGAAGTCGCCTAGCATGTTCTTCTGGGGTTTGCATCGCTCGATTTGCTTTTAATCTCTGCAGACGCATGGCATGTTTTTGAGAATCTTCCGCGGCTCTTTGCGTCTTGAGGTTCTGCAGGCGCCTTGCGTGCTCCTCGGTAGATTCCATTGCGCGCTTTGCCTTCAGCTTCTCTAGGCGAATCGCATGCTCTTTTCGAGATTCCTTGCTTCGAATCGCTGCTTGCATAGCACTTTGAGTGCTTAGTCGCTGTCGCCGATCATCAGCAGATTCAGTTGACCATTTCTGTGCGCGGTGAGCAGCCATGCGAAGCCGATTTGATTCCTTGCGGCGGCGCGCCTTCTCCTCGTCACGAGTCAGGGATGCATCAAGTGTTGTTGCAACCATCGCTGTCTTTAGTTCTGTTACAGTCACGCCGGTGACAGATACAATAGAAGCCTATTTAAAGTCGTCGTTAATTATACCGAACGTAATGATATTTGTCAATAGTTAGCATTACTTGGATGGAGTTGGATTGCCATGACGAAGCAGGAATCTCTCTCTTCGATTCAGTCACTTGCTCGGGGATAGTTAACTCCTAATACAAATTCCTTGATAAGTACAACTAGTACTGAGTGTAATCATATTTGTCAATATTACTTGGTTCGAGTTGGTTTGGGTAATTTTTCGCCTCTTTTCATCGGGCGGTTTTGTTGGTTCCATATTTCCTAATCCTGGAAATTAATATCTCTATGATTTGATCACGCACGAGTACTCCTGTAGTTTTATTGAACCTGTTTAATCCAATCACACAAAATACCTCCAGAGTTCGATATGGGTGGAAGTAAACAAAACCTCTGAAACGTAATACGTACCAGAATCAGCGATGACGGCTCTTGAACGAAAATCGGGGGTCGACGGACACGGAGCCACACACGGAGCCACACACGTAAGCCACACACACGGGGACAAAAGTAAAGAGGGAAACCTCAAACACCCGACTTACGTATGACAGTTCAAGTGTGATTTCTCACAATGCAAGTAACGGCCACTAGCGATGGATTGTTGCTCTGAAAGCAATTTATCTCACTCTAGCACGATTACAAGCTAGTAACTTAATTCAGCACTTGTATACTCGTCTACTTATCGGTAGTGGAAGTCACGAGTTTCCACCGAGCAGTTGAAGAACTGCTAGTGTTTGAGGGGCAGGGAGGGCCAGAAGCGCAAATTGCCGCACGAAAGCAATTCCAAATTGACTGTGAGTACTGTAAAATCCGGATAACGTAAACACTGTTTCCGGGGACGTCACTGGATTTTTTGTCGCGACACAAAGAAATACTAGTATACAGTACGCAGCATTTATATCCAATCCCTATACTAGAAGCCTTGAAGTTTACAGTACCGTATATCATTAACTGTACTTACTCTATGCGGTATCAAGTCTTGTGTCCTTCTAGTACTCCATCTAGTACTAGACGGAGTACTGGCATGATGCTTTGATTGGATGTACAAGTCCTTCTTTGAATGTAAGGTTAACTGAAAATTACTCCATTATGTACATCCGCATGGAGTACGTACTTCACTTGATTAGCATACCGGTATACAATCTACTGTACGCGTACAGTACTAGTACTACGTAGTACTTATAGGTACTTCAGTATGTACTGTTCTACTACTATTAATACTACCGTAGTTCTACTGTACTACTACAGTAGTAGTCGTATACAGTACCTGTACTCGTACTCAGGAAGAGTACAGTTGTACTTTAGACATTAATCAGTCAAATTAGACTATTGTTTAGTACTAC